TGACCGTCAATTGAGAAATAGAACTTTGTCATTGCACTTTTATTTCATGAGGGAAGGGTTAATATAAACATAAAATAACATATGACAGCTCGAGAAATTCATCTTTCTACCTGGAGTTAATAACCCTTAGACGATAACTCTTTCCTGTCTCCAAGTAGAAATTTTCAATTGACCCATTGCAATTTAAAATACCCTTTCCGTTGATTAATGTACTACGTGGGATTGGCTTAAATTTGTGAAGAGAAAATTTCAAGCGATATAATAATTGTATGAATTCACTTCGTAGACTCCCAACTTTTTTCGGACACGTACCTCGTCAACGTTTTCGGAAATATACTTTCTTAACAACTCGCCGCCTTGCTCATGATACCAATCTGACAACAAGATAATCTTTTCGTATTCATACTTATGTATCTCTTCCTCCTTGGAGTCCATCACCACCAACGCACCATAAAGTCCATCGATCCTTTGAGTCTCGTATGTTGCATAACTACATGTATTTCGAACCGGAAATAAATTCAATGATTCTCCTATTTGGTATACAATATTCCTGCGAACTAGAAATATATACTCACTACCAATAAGTACCGCTCTCCGAAACAACGAATTCATAGACAAACCACTTTCCATCCTCAAGAGGACACTGAGTGACATACGGCATACCATCCATAAATGGTGTTTTCCACTGATCTATCCCATGTACATGGATGCTTGTTGGAACCCCTAAAAAATTTGTCACGTTAATATTCACGGTGTCTCCTTTGTTCACTATTATCGAAGGGCCGGGAAAATGATGATTGATTGTCAAGACATTGCGACTGTTTCCGTCAGGAGAAAGGGTCTCGTTTCTTAGAACCAACGTGAAATATTTCGTTTCCGAGACTTTTGTGGCGGCCGGTAAAGGGGTTGTCGTTGAAGGAGATACTTTTGGTGGTAACGTAGGAGTTGATTGCTGTGCGGAGATAGCGGTCACTCGAGATTGATCTATAATCTCATGCCCGTCATGATCTTTCGGTGAATCTTCCGAAGAATTTGTTTTATCATATAAATAATCGTGAAATGGAATGTTGTGTGGTCGGGGCCATGAAATTTCAAATATTGAATCTGCGGTATAATTCATTAACACGGCAAGTAATAGAACGCTTGATATTCCTAATAAAACTATACATCCTAGGAATATGACACTATATCTTCGTGTATTTGAAAGGATTTTCATTTTACAGTACTTATTTAACCTGTATTCAAATTCCAAGATTATTAATTTACAGCAGATTTAATAAAGCGCTTGAGGAAATTTCGAAAGACACGAAAGATGAGAAGGCGATTGTCTAATTGGACATTAATTTGCTCGGTTTCGAAAAAATTCAGATGTCAACAAATTTGAGGCTTTGCTTAAACTCGTTATTTCGTACAAGTGAAATTCCATGGGATCATAGATTAATACAGTAAATCGATATACACATTCTCCGTTTCCGCGTGGCAATGCTAAGATCTTCGCACTGCCACGTTAACGTATATAAACGAACATCAGAAATCAGCGCGATTTTAGCTACAGCATGTTTGGTTTCAGCGACTAGACTTTAATCAAATAACCAAATATGGTTTGAGCAAAATAACGTCATATCCTTTTTAACGACTGGTGAGTTAAAAAATTCTTCTTTACTGAATGTTGCAATTCAATGGCAAATTACGTACAGAAATTTGTATAAAATTTTCGGGAATATGTAGTTAATTAAATTAAATCATCCGAGTATTGATCATAGAATTACGGTACGTAATTTTTCATGAAGTCATAATTTAGTAATGCCAATGTGTAGAGTGTGCATATAAAGTACATCTTTTCTCCTCCTTCGTGATGAATTTTCTTACGCTTATCAAAGAAATATGGCCATTGCCCAGGAACATCCTGTACAATCTTATTTCCTTATTATATTTGCCAATCTTTTTTTATTATATATATTTTTTATTGTAAATTTTGGCCTCTTTTGCAAAGAATTCTTACGCGTTCATCAAACAAATAAGGACACCTCCCCCCACGAACATTCTATATTTTCTTTTCATTTTTATTTTTCGTTCAACAGCCAAGAACGTTCTGTGCAATATTCGCAACCTAATTATTATTGTTTTTATTTTTTTACTTTTAATTTACTGTTCATATTTCTATTCCTCATTGTAAACTTTTTCTTCTATGATAAAATTTCACACTTTTTTCAAAGAAATAATTACTTCGACCAACATCCTTTATTATCATCTTCTATGTTTTGGGGGGTTTTTTTTTTATCCTACTTTCTTTTCTTGTTGCTACTATTCCATACTGCAAATTATTTTATATTTACATAATCATTTTGCTTATCAACAACAGGCATCCAGTTGGGTCGAAAGTCGCGAAGGTCAAATTCCGGAGGGTGCGTGGTATGTCGGTGAAAACGCTGTTGGTCGTGGATGGTACGATGAGGGTTTGCATGTGGGCTACGTCGTGCCTGGGAGGGGATTGATGATTGGTTATGGTGGTAACGAAGTTAATTTGAGACAATACGAAGTTCTTAGAGGTGATCCGGCTCAATATCGTTGGATTGGATGGTGGGTATTCGTTGTTCGTTGTTTTCGCATTGATCATGTATTCGTTGTTTTCGCATTGATCATGTGTCCGTTGATAACATTTTTGCACAAATATCGAATCGATCTAGTCAAGGTCCGTGCAATCCACGGCATTTCGTTCCGTTATATGGTGGCCACGAAGCTGTAAGTAAATGTTCGATTGATTATGATCAAATGAGATTTCTAAATTGTTGGTGATCTACAGGATGGTCGCGAGTTATACATTGCCAAGGGATGGCACAACGACCGTGAGGTCACTGGAAAAGCCGGTCCTGTAAGTCATGTGCTGACTCAATGCTCGTTAGATGTTGTTTTCTATTACTGTCGTCATTAACCTTCCGTAAAACAGCACTTGGAAGAAGGAATGTCCTTTGGAATTGACGGTCAAGAGAATTCTCTACGAGATTATCAAGTATTGGCACTATTGGGCTGATTTTTTGGTTACTCTTTTTGATATGCAAAGTTACAAGTCATAAACTCGAATGTGTATAACAAATCAAATCACAGTTAGATAGATAACACTCAAAAAGGATATGTAATATTAATCGAATATACTATTAATGACGCCTTTTACTGTAATAAATACAAGTACAGTATTTGTAGTATTTGTACGATGATGTGATGTGCGATTGCGTAATCATACTTAATTTACCTCCAAAGGATCTTCAAATCACTCAAAACTAAATGATGCGGAAAGAATTCTACACCACTTTGTCACAAGACTTTTCTCAACTTCTCGAGGATTCCGATGACTATAACGTTAATATTAAAGTTGGGGAAAATGTCAATACTCGAAATTTTCTTGCTCATTCCGCGATATTAAGGGCACGTTCGCCTTACTTCAAAAGAGCGCTTTCTGATCGATGGACCGTCAAGAAAGATGGGATAATTTCATTTACTAAATCGAACATTTCCCCGTCCGTTTTTTCTTTAATTCTTAAGTAAGCCATGTTGACCTTACCAAGAATATAAGGTTTTTAAGTAAATTAATATCACATATCTTAATTAGGTATATCTATTCCGGAATTCTCGACCTAACGGAAATCCCTGGAACTGATTGCCTTAACCTTCTGGTCGCATCAGATGAATTACTTCTCGGGGAATTAATCGAACATATTCAGGATCACTTTATCGAACGAGATACAACCTGGACCATGCAAAACTTCTCCATGGTTTTACGCACCGCGACTCAAATTCCCAGTTGCAAAAAACTTCAAGATTATTGTTTCGAATCTATTTGCAATGATCCTGAACCTTTTTTCACCTCGGATGATTTCCTATCATTGGATATGGATATCTTGTTGGATTTGATCAAATGCGATAACCTAGAGATCAAGGAAGCAGACATCTGGGAATTCCTTATTAAATGGGCGATCAATCATACTCAAGGGATAAGAGAAATGAAACCCACGGATGTGAAAAAGTTCTCCGAAAATAATTTTCGGGACCTGAAGAAAACGGTGGAACCATTTATTCCGTATGTTAGATTCTACGATATCTCTTTAAAAGAATTTTACTATAAGGTTCGCCCATATCAGCAAGTCATACCGGAACCACTCCTCGAAGATCTCATGTCCGTTCTGATGGCTGACACTGAGCCAAAACTGAAAAATCTGCCCGCTCGTGCGGGAAATCTCATAAAAGGATCCAATATTATTACTGGAAAACATGCGTGCATCATTTCTAACTGGATTGATAAAAAGGATGCTTTGAGTACATCAGAGAAACATCAGTTACAATTTAATCTACTTTATCGCGGAACTAGTGATGGATTTAATGCTGCTTCATTTCACGAGAAAGTTGACAACAGAGGAAAGGCACTTGTGGTCATTAAATTAAAGGATTCCGAGAAAATAATTGGCGGATTTAATGCAAGTGGGTGGTACGGAAGCAGAAATACGATTATGTACGGAAGAACGCGGAGACTGAACGATTATGGTTCTTGGCTCAGCAATTCTGACCATTTCATATTTTCGTTCGCGAATAGAAATGACTATAAAACTAGGAAAATCGGTCGGTCTGATGATGCCTATGGTGTATACGATACTAGTAACAAGATGTTACAATTCGGATGCGGTGATTTAATGCTTGATAATGGACAATACGGAACGTGTAAGAAAAATAATTACGACCATAACATTTTGGATACTGAAAATTTCGTCGCTGAAGAATTGGAAGTGTTTGAAGTGATATCCCCAATGATAGTGTAAAAAAAAAAAAAATTTAAAAATTAAACCATTAAAACACACATTAAATATAATAAACTTAATTTGAATTATATTTAATGTAAGTTATTATCGTTAATAGGAATGGTAATTTTAAATTCAATAGTATTGTGCAGTATATAATTTTAATCAGAATAATCTTGTCTGGTTTTTATGCTTTCCCATTAATTTAATAATAAATCCAGGTGAATTTTTATTTTATTGATTTGCTTGATTTCTTTTAAAATGCGGTTCTTCATGATTATTTTCTATTCTTACTTTTGTTTGATAAAATTTGTATGCAACCTTTAAAAATCTTTTATCAAATAAAATTATTTTTTTTTTTGTTATTCTTATCATTATCAAATAATTAACCTGAAAACAAAAATCATCCTGATTTCAATATCAAACAATAAAATATCAAAAGAAAAAAGTATAATTAGAAAATGGAAATCCGAATAGAAACTTTACACAATTGTATCTTTATGACCAATGCATGTTATATTTTGATTTTTTATATACTGATTTAAATTTAAAAATTAGTAAATAAATCATATCTCAATATGAATTTGTCAAATTGTTTAAAAATTGTTTAAAAAATTTTTTAAAAAACGGTTAATACACGAACACATGATTTTAACAGAAAGTTGATTTATATTTAACCATTTGTTTTGAAATAATATATTTGTCTATAATAAAATGTTAATATCAACAAAATATTAACTGTTAATGAAATTAAAAATTCATCTATAGTTGTACGTATAGTTTTTATCTTTATTTTGTTTGTAAGACTTGTAATCACAAAGTCATCTTTATTAAATAATTAAAAAATTTATTTAAAAAAAGAAAGTTGTTAAACCTGATAAAAAATTAAGTAAAAATTAAATCTTTGTTAAATATTAATTTCTTTATTATATACTTAAGATATAATAATTTATTTATTTATTTGATTTCAATTCATGATTTTTAATACAAATTATAATGTAAAAAAAATAATTATTTGTGCTATCTCAAAAAAATAAGTTAAAATACTTTGATTTTTTTTAAAAAAGTAAAAAAAAATATTTCAAAGCAATTTTTCAAAATTATCATTATCTAGACTTTAATAAAAGTATATTTACAAATATTATAAAATATTTTTTTATTTTTTTATTTTTTTATTTTTTAAAGTTTTATTTATTTATTTCCATAATTTTTTTAAAGTTTGTTATATTGTGTATCATTATATATATGTAATTGTTAAATATAATAAAAATTTTTTTTTGGAAAATTGATTTGCAATAATTAATTAGTTTATATAATATTGTTAAAGTGAAAAATGAACTATATAAATAATGAGAAAAATAAAAGTAAAATGAAGTAGAATATAAAAAGTAATATGATAGATATGCAAAAGATATCTAGTATTTCTAGTATATTCTAGTATCTTTAAATATCTAACAGGTATAATAAGTAATTATCAAGTACAATATAGACAATAAGTATAAAGTTAGATAATAAGTTCAAAGCTGGCTAAATTATATTAGATATAAAAAATATAAAAATAAGATAACGATATAAAATATGGCAATCAAGAAGGATAGGCACTGCATACTAAAAAGACTATCTATCTTAAGAGTGTCACTAAATAAAGAAGTGATCACGCAGAAGGTTGGCAGTTATGACACATGATCGATGGATCGACCTGCATCATTGTTAAACTTGAGCCAAATATATATGTCTCTTTTAAGAAGAAACCATTCTCCAATGTAGTACAGCATAGACAGAACAGAAGCGACAGACTTGTCGTATTTCATTGTAACAATGTATACCTTTACCTATATAATAAATTGGTATAAATATTAATTTACAATATATTGTTAGCCCTATAAAAGTTACATGATATAGTCACGTACCATAACTATCGCGTTGCGTACTCTGGAAATGTGAAGTAGCATTAATAATCAGCATAGGAAATGTAATTATTGAAGTTTACATAACTTACCCATAGTTTGTTTTAGCCCCGAAAGTCTATTTTCCCTTAATTGTTTTAGTAGTAGCAATAATATAAATAGTCATACAATTGTAAAGCAAACAATAGATAGGATCTAGAGATAGAAAATCAGGAAAAAAAAGAGTAATAATAAAAATTGAAATGCCAAATAAGGAATATTGTAATTAATAACTTACCTTTTCAAGTACACACCATACAAGGAAGGATAATCGCCGCTATAGGACATAGCCCGGGATTATTAAGAGAAAAGCTAATATCAGGAAAGAAGAGAAAAACTTGTTAATAACGAAAAGCTCTGACTAAATCAATCTTATGCATCTCGACTTACCTTAGTTACGTGAATATTGGACTGGTGAAGTGATCGACTTTCCATTTTCTGGGCCAACAATATAAATATATTTAAATAAAAAACACTAACCCCAATACTGTGGATGTAAAAAATATGCCAAAATATATAATTTGATATCAAATTGTTACTATTGTTTGTTAAAAATTGAAATATATTTCTGGCAAAAATCTTGATTGAAATTGTCTGATAAATTTAGAATTTTCATTACTAATTGAACAAGTTGAAGAAAACAATTAACCAGATTTGTTTTTTTTCCTTCAATAGTTTTATATACTTCTTTAATTGACATCAAAACTTGGTTTAATTCTTCTAAATTTTCAAAAAATTGTCTATTCCAAAAAATTTCTATAATATTTTTATCTAAAATTTCAGGTGTTTGTTCAAGTATCTAAATAAATAATATTAATAAATTTTTGTAAAAATATTAACAAATTACAAATTTGTAAATACTTATATTTCAAAAACAAGTTTCTAATTGTAATATTGAGTTAGTACTATTAAATGCTAAAGATTATCATGTTTTTATATAAGTTTTTAGATTCCCTCTAGCAACCAATTCATTAATGATTTCTTCTTGTAATTAACCTTTAACTTGATGAGCTTTTTTAAAAAATTTGTAATCTTGGTACATTTTTTTAAAAGCTTTTAGCAAAAGTTGTTTTTGCAATATCTGCTACTATTAAATTAATATGATATGCAATATATTATAAAGAAATAATATGTGAATATTTTTCAGCAATTTTTTTTTGGCTGCAACCAAAGCACTGGCAGCATCAGTAACAATAGCATTGATTTTAGTCGGTTTAATATTTTCTAAAATTTTAATTATTTCTTTTTTTTTAATGTTAAGTGAGGCATTTCTCACGATCTTTATTAATATAGTAAAATGAATTGTTACATAATTAATATTAAGATGTAATATACATTGCTATACATGTCAGCCTACCACCTGATTAGTTATATCTCTAGAAAAAAACCCTTGAGCAGGGAAAAGGAG